AGCAGGTAGTACTCTAAATCTCAGAAAAAATGACTATCTCTTCGCAGATACTAGTTACCTCTCTTACTCTTTGGTGATTCTCCTGTGTAAAGGAAATCCTCTAAGTCTGTTACATTCAATAGATCTTTGGTAGGACAACATGATGCAGGCCCATTGTAAAAAAAATTGGATGTTACATATTTAAATGAAATGGAGACTGGAGTCAGTGTCTTTTTTTTTCAATTTTTGCTCTTACATTTGACCCAGGTTAGTAATGGTAACATGTAGCAATATTTTAGTGCATTTCAGAAATGTATGTGAATTAAAACATTGAATAGATCGATAAGCATGGTCTAGAACTGGTTATGAGTTCTAGATAACATGCAGAAAAAATTATGCAATCCCTTCCACACAGATGTTGTACTTAAAGTGTGCCTAAACAATAAAAGTAAGTCAGAAGAGCAAAGAGACTGGCTTCTTTCTTAAAACTTTAAAAGATCTAAAAGGGAAAGAAATAACATATCTTTTTGTTGAATTTTAGTGAGTCTTTGAAAATTTCACACAAAAAGTAAAATTTCAGAGTCCTTTAAAATGCATGTAAGCTACACTTATATTTGTCACTGCTGAATTTATGTTGATATTTATGGAAAAAGATTTTGCTGAGTAGATGGGAAAGAAACAACTCTCGGCTTGTGGAAGCTGCACATTTAGGATAAAGTTGCTGTTTATTAGAATGCTGTACTGTATACTGCATAATATTGATTGGCTGAAAGGGTTACATTTCCACTTTTCTGATAACTTTTTCAGTTTGGTAAAATTTTTTAAATTATTTAAAAAGAACAGAGATATTAATTGGTTAATTGGTTAATATTACAGTGTGAGTTTGTTTCCATTTAATGCTTAGGCTTCTTCTGAGAGATCAGAAATTATAATTAGGCATACCAGGTTTATTACTTAAAAACATATGCTCGTGTATATGTTGAAAATGGGATATTCTTCTTAACAGGTTTAAAACCAGGACAACGCAAAGTTTTATTCACTTGCTTTAAGAGAAATGATAAACGTGAAGTAAAGGTTGCTCAGCTGGCTGGTTCTGTTGCTGAAATGTCAGCTTATCACCATGGGGAGGTGAGTATGAAGGATGGTAAAGCTGTGAGGATTTCTAGCCTATATAAAATATTAGGTGAATGTTTACTGTATTGAAATTGCAAACCTATTGACTATAAGTCATAGAATCATAGAATCATAGAATCATAGAATCATCTAGGTTGGAAAAGACCTTGAGGATTTCTAGCCTATATAAAATATTAGGTGAATGTTTACTGTATTGAAATTGCAAACCTATTGACTATAAGTCCACTAATCACAGACTTACTTTTAAAGAAAAGGAACCAAACAGTATATAGCTTAATAAGACAGCATATTTCCATTCTTTCCAAGTCTTTGTGCACAGTGCTATCCCAAATAGTTTGTGGGTTGTGGCAAAATAATAGATAACTAATTAGCTAGGTAAATTCTAGAGTCCCAAATCATAGGAATATAGGAACTAGGTACTAGGACAATTTTTGTCTTAAGAAATACAGTCTTTTCAGGTAAGAAGAAGAGATACTATTCTTCAAAAACCTGATACAGTGTTGGAACAAAGATTATTTCTATCTCCTTTTTTGTTTATATTTATCTGAAATATTAGCAGGAGTTGCCATATTAACAGTCTCTGTCCATCCCTTCTTCTCTCCCTTGAAAAGCAATGAGTAGTAGTTTGTGCAGTAGTAAGTGCAGTCAGTTTGTGCCCCTTTCATTCCTCCAGAGAAGTGCTTTAGAAAAAATGGAGAAGCCCAGGGGTTTTCATAAGCATGGAATGTAAGGACACTTAAATCAGGGAGGCGATGTGGCTGTGGGAGCAGCAGCATTGTGTTTTGCCAGCAGCTCTTGTGATAGGTTTACAATATTCCTTTCTCAGGGGGGCTACTTTTTTTAAATTGAATTCAGGTTAGTCACACAATTTTTGGGTGTGAAAAATATATTTTTTTGGCTGATTAGGAAAGACTATCTCTTCTTATACTTATTACTATGAATATATATTTTCTTGCAGCAAGCGTTAATGATGACTATTGTCAACTTGGCTCAGAACTTTGTTGGCAGTAACAATGTTAATCTGCTACAACCTATTGGTCAGTTTGGTACCAGGCTTCATGGTGGAAAGGATGCTGCCAGCCCTCGCTATATTTTCACCATGTTAAGGTAAACACAAATGTAAAGCTAAATGCATGCTTTTAAAAAGCCTTGTTATCAAACTAATCCTTTCACAACACTGCAGTTTTTTTTGTGGGAGAGGAATGGGGAGGATTGGAATATTTCGATAGAAGCTCCAATTCGGCTGTACATCTGTAAGTGTGTTTTTGCGCATGGATTTTTTGCATGATTTTCCATGCATAGAAGTATTGTGGGAATTGTAGCTTTTGGAATTGAACTTTGAATCATAAGGCTGAAGACTGAAAATGTAGATCACTCACATTAGTTACTGATCTTCAACTGTGACTTCTTGCAGAAGTAGCTTTCAGTTTCCCTGTTCAGTGTGAAATCTATTGAGTTTCACAATAGGAAGTGTATTGCTGTGCTACCTGGTGATAAGTCCTGCAAGTTGGCATAGACTTGAAAGTTGAGATGGATTCTTTTCTTTTCAGATGAGTTTCTTCATACCAAGCTGAATTACACATACATAATTAATAATGGAGACCTAATTTAATGATGCTGATTTTTCACAGCTAGTACCTTGAAATTCAGTTTAGTGTGCAGAGTGTTAGAATGTGTTCCTTAATGTAAATTATAGCATTTTATAAGTTATGTTGCTGCTTTTATTTCCTAATTTCAGTGTGATATGTTGCCTAAAATTCCTTGTAATTTCTTCTTTTCCTCTAATTTTAAGCTTTATACATAAGTATCAGGTTTTATTCCCTTTCTCATCTACATTCTTTCTGTAGCAACCTAGTTTTGTACATTTTCCTTTTTGCATTAGGCGCTGGAAATCATATTCACCCAGGACAATGTTCTAGATGAGCAAAAGGAGTCACCAGTAAAACCTCTGCAGAATTTTCAGAGACTGCTAGGCCTACAATTAAGCAACAAAGTCTTGCAACTGTTCACATGCTGTGTTGCATTATTACTGAGTGACCTATTGTCACATTGAACTGTGTGTTCTGAATGCTTCAAAGAATGATATTTTTGTAGATGTTAAATATCAATCACTAATGTATCGTGTACGTGTGTTATTGTGAAGGAAAAAATGTTATCTGTTATGAACACACTCTTCCACTGGGAGAACTTCCTTTTCTCAGGAGATATGTACATTGTATTTTCAGCTTCAAAATGGGAAAGAGAAAGGAAGACATGAGAAATAATCTACAAATAGATTGTATCTGGACCCATGGACTGTTAAAGCATTATGTACTTTGCTTAGTGGACTCCAGATAAACAGTTTTCTTCTTTTTCTTTTTTAAAGCCCTTTAGCAAGGCTGCTTTTCCCAGCAGTGGATGACAACTTGCTTAAATTCCTTTATGATGACAACCAACGTGTAGAGCCTGAATGGTATATTCCCATCATTCCTATGGTTTTAGTAAATGGAGCTGAAGGAATTGGTACCGGATGGGCTTGCAAACTTCCAAACTATGATACCAGAGAGATTGTAAACAATGTCAGACGAATGCTGGATGGCTTAGATCCCCACCCAATGGTAAAAATAATAGTATATACTGGTATTTTATATGTTTGCTAAACAAACCTTATTTTGTACTTATAAAATTAATTCATATCACTGTAGAAATATTTGATTATTGGAACATCTGAGTTGGATTGTCCCAGTAATTTTGTGTAGGAGCTTTACTTGACTGTTGGGATGAGGCTGGGGAAGTTCACCTTGAAGCAAAAACATTGCAATTTGTATTTTTCCAGTTATTGCAGGGGACTTCTTCTTCGGTCTGCTGACTGTAAGCCTTCACAGGTGCAAGTCTTGCAGGGTAGTTATGAAATGGCAGTAGAGTAAAAA